CCAAGACCTTGGTCGAGCAGCTGAAGATTGCCTCTCCCAAGGACACTGTTCAGCTCGACAAGGCCAAGGAGACGGCTTACTCCGAGGGTTTCTACAAGGGAACCATGAACATTGGCGAGTTCAAGGGCGAGTCTGTCGAGTCCGCCAAGCCCAAGGTCCGCCAGGCCCTTATTGACCAGGGACTCGCGTTCGTCTACTCCGAGCCTGAGCGCAAGGTCGTCAGTCGTTCCGCAGACGACTGCATCGTTTCCCTGATGGACCAGTGGTACCTTGATTACGGTGAAGAGTCCTGGAAGAAGACCGCCCTTGACTGGGTCGAGAACACAGATGGCAAGGGCCTGAACACATTCAGCCCTGAGACCAAGAATGCTTTCCAGGGTGTCCTCAACTGGCTCAACCAGTGGGCTTGTGCCAGATCGTACGGTCTTGGCTCTAAGCTGCCTTGGGACCCCCAGTTCCTCGTCGAATCTCTCAGTGACAGCACCATCTACATGGCGTACTACACTATTGCCCCTTACCTCCACAAGGACATCTTTGGCAGAGAGCAGGGTACTGGCGCCATTGCTCCCGAGCAGATGAAGGATGAGGTTTGGGACTACGTCTTTTGCCGCCGAGAGCTTGATGACAAGCTTATTGCCGAGTGCAAGATTCCCAAGGAGACTCTTGAGAGCATGCGCCGCTCCTTCGAGTACTTCTACCCTCTCGACCTTCGCAGCTCTGGTAAGGATCTGATTGGCAACCACTTGACCTTCTTCCTCTACATCCATCTCGCCATCTTCAGCCCCGAGTACTGGCCCAAGGGTATCCGTACCAACGGTCACCTGATGCTCAACGGTGAGAAGATGAGCAAGTCGACCGGTAACTTCATGACCCTGCAGGATGTTGCTCGCAAGTTCGGTGCCGACGCTGCTCGTATCGGTTTGGCCGATGCCGGTGACACCAACGGAGACAGCAACTTCGAGGAGGACGTTGCTAACCAGGCTATTCTCCGTCTCCACACTCTCAGAGGTATGTTTGTCTCCTTACACTGTGATCGTTATACTAATAGCAGCAGAATGGTGCGACGATGTCGTCAAGAACAAGAGCGAGCTCCGTACGGGCGAGTACAACTTTTTCGACAAGGTTTTCAACAACGAGATGAACGTCATTGCCAAGGAGGCCATCCACCAGTACTCCGAGACTGCCTACAAGCTGGCCCTGAAGGCGGCTTTCTACGAGTAAGTTCAGATACGTACCAAACTGCTTTGCATTTCTGACGCATGTAAACAGCTTCAACAACGCTCTTTCCTTCTACCGCGAGAGCAGTGCCTTGTCCAAGATGCACGTCGACTTGGTCCTGCGCTACATTGAGCTTCAGGCTCTTCTCCTCGCTGTCATCGCGCCTCATTGGTCCGAATCAGTCTGGGTTGAGATCCTCGGCAAGCCTACATCGATCCAGCAGGCGACATTCCCCGAGATCCCGGAGACGGACGCGGCGCTTACGGCGGCGAGAAAGTACATCTCGGTGACGGCTTCCAATGTTAACTCTGCCGAGTCTCTGCAGCTCAAGAAGAAGGCCAAGGGCAAGGAGACGTCGTTCGACCCCAAGAAGCCCAAGAAGCTCACCATTTTCATGAGCGAAAAGTTCCCGCAATGGCAGCAGGCCTACATTGACCTCTTGAAGGAGATGTGGAACTCTGAGACCAACTCGGTGGACGACAAGGCGCTCAACGGCAAGATCTCCAAGATGGGCGAGATGAAGAAGGCTATGCCGTTCGTTCAGGGTCTCAAGAGACGTCTGCAGATGGGCGAGCCCGCTAGCGCTGTCCTTGAGCGCAAGCTGGCATTTGACGAGAAGGCTGTGCTCGTGGATATGATTGAGGGTCTCAAGCGCAGTGCCAACCTTGTCGAGGTGAAGATTATTGCAGTGGAGGAGGGCGGCAAGAAGGGCACTGATCTGGTGACCGGGGCTGTGGAGGAGAGCCTCGCGTCCAACGCCGAAGGCGCGGTACCGGGTGCTCCCAACTTTTTGTTTGCCAATGTTGAATCATCATGAGCAGCGAGGTGCACGGGATAGACGTGAGTCTGAGAGAGTAAAATGGTAGCATTTGGGTATGTCGTCACATGCCGATGTTGAGCCAAGCAAAAGGAAGCAAGACGAGATTTGATATCAATGATTACGATTTCTGTTCAATAGCAAACAGCTTGGCTCAATTTCAAACGTGATTAATGTGTAGGATGGGCTTTGAACAAAGGCCGGAACATGCAGGTTTAGTGCCGGACTTTGCATGGGGCTCGTCGGTGTATGCGGATAGCTGGGCTGTCTGTGAGGCTGGTATACCTTACTTCGTACCCGTACACTGATACCCTGGAGTCTAAATCCGTAAATGGGGCTAGAAGAATGGGACACAATACTGGAGAATGGAGAGGAGGGGGAGAAAAGACTCGGGCTCAGCCGTAGCCATTGGGTTGCGGCCTGAAAGTAAGGCTTTTCGAGGCTTTGACCGAAAATCAGGGAATGGGGACCCGGGAGTGAGTTGTCAAGTGGCACAAATTATGACAGATCGCACGAATACTTTACTTTACCTTGATCGTACGTGGCCGACATGCAAATGAGAGATCACGACGATGGATGAAGGTTTCCTTGATTCGTGGAAAGAAACAATGGCGTTGCTTGAGACGTTGAAGTCACACAAAAAACGTCAGGAAGCGTGCGGTTGGTGGCTGGTGGGGTCATGTTGTGTGGCTTGATTGGATGACTGACTGCAACGGCTGTGGAGGACACTGGAGGCAAGTGGCTGGGGTGATGCGGTGACGGATGTCAAAAAAACGGGCAGTCGCGTTCTGGAGGCTGGAGGGAAAGAGGGAAGGAAGGTGACTGGATGAGGAAGCAGGCGAGGATGCGGCAAAATAGGAAAACCTGGCAGGGACCCCTGCCGTGTTGCTCTTTCCCACATTCTCATCCTGGCCCCTGCCTCCTTCTTTTCCATGACGGGATCTCTCACCGTTGGTCACCGTCTGCCATCTGGTGTCTCCCGCCTTCTGTCCTTCAACTCCAAGGAACTGGCCATGTTCGTCCCATCCATCGATTTAGCTTCGGCCTCGGATTCGACCACCACTGCCAACACCACTCCCATTTGCCATGTTCTCGAAAGAACCAGAGTCTTGGCCACCTGAAGCTTGAAGGAAGGGGGCTTACTCGATGACTGGTTTGGCTCTAACGGGTCACGGTCGGCATGATGTGATTCATGGCCAGAGATTTCTCTGTCTTTGAGAGGGGTCACCGAGGGCTGCCAATGCCATGCAATGGCCCGACCAATCCAGGCACAAGGGGAAAGCCGTCGCAGCCGCCTTTGCTTTTTTCCCGCAGCATTTCACTGGGCCAGCCTCGATTCTTCCCGACTATCCTCAGCTACCAGCCTACTATGTACCCTGGCAGCCTGGGGCCTGTTCTGCGGGATGCGTCTCCGGTTGCTACAGTGTCTCTTTACGGATTTCTTTCTCGCTTTTCCTAGCTGCAGCACCCGCTGGCCCTCGTCGACGTATGACGCAACAGAGCACGGCATCGGACGCAGAGTATCGCCAACTTGGTCTTCCCCCATCCTTCTGGACGACCTGGGCCCCGGCCTTCCGTACGACCACTTTCTCTGCTGGCAAGGAAAACTCGGGACAGCTGCAGCATATTGGATATGCTAGCAGAATGGCACAATGGGTGCTTACCTGATTTCTCATGTTTGCGCGCCTTCCGTCACCCAACCACCACCCTGGGCCGAAATGACGAGATGCTTTTTGTGCCAGTGTGCAGGTTTGCGGGAACTCGGCAGACTAGCAACCGTTGGCAAGCATCACTCCTCTTTTTGGTTCTCCATCGAAGACGGACGGACAAGCGGACGGATGGTGGATCTAAGTCGGTTGAGTTACCCCAGGATCAGGTCAGAAGTCTGCTTCGTGGGCGGCTTTGAACATCACTGCCATCAGAGCTTGGATTTTGGTGACTACTCCGTACTGTCATTGGGAAGTATAAGCTGATGGGCATTGCATCTGCCAATGAGACGGCATTCCAGCAACATGAAACAAAAAACGAGGTGGTGGGGAAAACACACACGTCTGTTGCTGCGGCTCATCGTTTGTGTTGCCATTCTCGTGTTTCCATGTTGTTGCTCTTTGCTGCAAGTGAAGCCATCCCCAGCCATTTTACTATGCACAATTCAACCCATCAGAGTTTACCACGGTCATCCCAGCCTTCTTTCTCTTTGTGCTTCTCGATGAGCAACCCAGACAGAGTCCACTTTTGGTTTCCTGGGTCAATGGACGACAACCCTGTCCTCTCTCGCCTTGTTCGGTTGCTTCCACCTTCATCCCACCCATGTCTGCGACCAGTCCGAATCTAGCACCAACGGGCCTGCAGGCAAGCGAACATGAATGATGTGGTCTAGTCTGAAAATCTGGTCTGGGACTCTGCTCTAGGCATGGCTGATCAAGGTCGGCGGCGCAATTGTTCAAGGCCCAAAAGAAGTCCCAGGTCGGGTTTCCCTGCTTCACCCAGGTGCCCCGCATACAACTTGCCCACCTCACCACCAATACGACCCCCGGTAACCAAGCTACCAACCCTCTGCTTTCTTGAGTCCCCAGTGATGGTGCCGTCACAGCACCCCTCGTCGAGATGATGTCGTGCAAAATCGCCATTCTTGGCATCACTGCTGTCACCGACTCGTAGCCTGTAGCACACAATGTCCTGTGTACGTCGTACCTAGTCGTACGGCCTGGGCTTTGCTCGTCACGCAGACCCTCACTCCCGTCTTGTAGTATATATCTCCCATCCAGTCTCTTCGAAATCGAGACTGCTTTTTGCTCTTCATCCGCAACAACAAGTTCAGAACATCTCACTTTTACTCCCCGCCTCGTCGCATCAACAAGAGCCTCAGCTTTCGAGCTAAACCAGTCGCTTCTCTTCCCGATAATTCAACCTCTCATCGACGGCTCTTAAGCTTCCTCTCTCCAAACAACACCAATAAGCCAAAATGCGCTCCTTCGCCATCCTCTCCGCTGCCGGCCTCGCCGCCGCCCAGTTCACCTCCATCGTCATCACCGACGGCATCACGGCCACCGTGACCCTCCCGGTCTTCCCTGAACCCACCGCCACCGCCGTCGTCACTGAGACGGTCCCCTTGACCACCGTCACTGCCTCTCCCTCCGCTTCCTCCGAGGCTTCCGCCTCCACGACCGTGGTCGTCCCGGAGGGCACCACCACCGTCTCTGAAGGCCTCACAACCGTGCCCGGAGGCATCACCACCACCACCCAGGTCGTCGTCAGCGACCCTCCCGTCACCGTGACGACTCCCATCGTCGTTCCCACCGGCACTGACCCCGTCGAGACTCTCCCTACTATCACCGACTCTGCCATTCCTTCCATTACCGCCGTCATTCCTCCCATCATCAACAGTGAGTATCACCTCTTACTCTGATTCTAAAAGAGGCAATTGGACTAACATGACCTTTCAGCTACTCTCTCAACCCTCACCCAAACTTACTTCACTTCATCTCCCAACGCCACCACCACCGGCCCCGTCACCGTGCCTACTGCTGCCGCTGACAAGGTCCAGAGCTCTGCTGCTGGACTCATTGCCTTTGGTATTGCCAGCTTCTTCCTTCTGTAAAGGGGGCTTCCTGATATGAGAGACTTGGAAAAAAGCATGATGGAATAATGGGTTTACGCTTGAATGATGATAAGCGCGGTATACACACACACTTACTTGACACGGGATTCATGAGGAAGCAAAACAGCACTTGCTTTGGACATGTATTATGACTCCTTTTATGGCTTGGAGCAAAGGCGTTGGATACTCTGCATACGATGATGAAGCATGGTCATCATGAGATAGCATTAATACTGCTAATTAATTTAAGAAATAAATACTTTTCACATATAACGTGCTCTCTCCATACGACTTTTTATTGTGAAGATTCCTGCCGCAGAGATTACTTGAGGAACGTTTACCGCGGACATATATAAAACCAAAACGGAAGGAACTATCAAAAGAGTTCACCCCCCCGGTGGCGAACGGGGGCTACATCTCTTGGTGCACATGCTGGGATTTTTGTCGACTCGAACTCGGGACCTCTAAGCCTTCACCGATTAGGCTATTCGTGGACTTCAACCACTCCACCACCCAGCCAGTTTTGACCTGACCCCCGAGGGGGGCGCCTGCTGGCTGGTGACGGGAATGGATTTGGAGGAGTATATGAAGGCTTGTCCCGTGTGTATTCACTCATGTGTGTTCGGGATATGGAAAGGGTAAAAGGGTATCGGGGATAATGTAAAACAAAGGCAAGTTGGGAATATTTGCCATCTTGGTATACGCCAACCCGCCTTCCCCTTCCTTCTTGTCCCTGAGCTTCCTCCTGCAGCGCCGCCCACCATGACCTCCGACAACTAGGTAATTCTGGCAAGGACGTTCCACAGCGACCGCGCTGTCCCTCAATCTTCCTGGCCAACATTTCCAAGTGCGACGACCGTCAGCGCATGTTCCAGTAAACAGCGGCGCGGCACGAGGCCCAGTATCCCCCTTTTGTCCAAAGAACAGGCTCGCGTTGCATCTTTTCATTTAGCAAGTGTTTGCCTCCACCGTTACCTCTGCGGTACACTGCAATTTCCACCTTTCTACCATGGTTGGAAATGGGAGTAAGCTGTGACACCAAGCCTTTTTGTGGGACGCAGGCGGCTAGAGTATTCGTCCGACCACGGAGGCCTTCCTTCCCGGGTAGGTGCGCGTACTTGGGCTCCCAAGTGGCAATCTGCTGCCTCCTCGACGTTCCGTGATCAAGGGGGGTCATTCTCGGGCGCCTGTATCTACGCTCGTGTTTCGCTGGCTCGGCGCTTGGATGATGGGCTTGGTGCCTGGCAGGCGGCGCGACGCGACCATCCGCTAGGAGGGCTCCTCGCACAGTCGGAGCAACCTCTATCATGGCGCGGCATTTTATCATGAACCCTGAAGATAGATCTTCTTCAGGCGGCAACGGGGATCTGAGCAGAAGCCTCCTCGACGGCAGGTTCAGCTTCACCTTCGGGGTCCTCGGGGAGGTCGTCCTGCGATTTGCGATGACATGTTAGCCATACACACTTCTCTCCCGTGACGTTTCCGTATGGATCCTCAGCTTGCGGACAGGTAGAACTCACCTTATCAAAGATGACGCGAATCATGAGACTACAGCTGGGACATACGGCAATGTCCTCGTCGTCGCGTAGGTCGGCCAGGGCGATTTGGAACTTGTCGCCGCAGGGGCAGGGGTAGTGGTAGATCTGCATGTCCTCGTCAAAGGTCATGTCCTCGATCTCGATCTCATCGTAGATGGAAATATTGTCGTCGGACATCTTGGCGGCGTCGTGTTGTCGTAGTATGGATGAGTAAGTCTTGCGATTTAGTCTTGGCTAGGATGATGGCGATGGAATCATTCAAGTTGAGGGGTGGCAAGCCAACTTAGAAGAAAAAAAGAATTAGACAAAAAAAAAAGCTGCGGGAGGAGTTGCCCCGCGATGTGGCTGGTGAGTCAGTTCTCCGAAGTCAAGCCACATCTGGTTATATAATAGAGCCTCAGGCACAAAAGCCAAAGAACCCCAGAAGACAAATCACATGCCATCGGTAGCCAATTCACATGGGAACGGGCCAGAGTAGCCATTTTCCGGGGTTGGCCAATCATATTGTTCGCCGCTACGGGGCCGCTCTTCTCCAGCACCCATGTACCGTGTCACTCCGGGGAGCCGAGGGACAGAGAGGTCAAACAGCGCCAGCTTTCCCCCATTTTCCCCAGCGAAATCCAATGGCTAGATCTGCCCAGTGCTGAATCAGAACAAAGACCCGAGCCACCGAAGCGGTCCAGTGGTATTTCAACGTTTTGGCTGCTGAATCTGGAAACGGAAGGGGACTGGACTTGGTACCTACCTGCCGCTACCCCCCAAGGGCCCCAGCCGAAAGCCTCGTCCGAAGCACCAGCCGTGTGACACTCATCCAAAGCAACCGCCACCAGCCATGGCCGTTGTCAACATCATTATTTTCCCCTTTCTGACCGACTGCGAACACCTTTGATATTGTCCCTCGCGATACCCCCCACGATCTCTTTACGACAGACGGACTTCGATCGAAATACCACCACGAATGCGCTGACGGTACAATCCCAGCGTCAACCGACGGACGTTCCCCCCCAGCCGCCGGTGTGACGTAGCCGCGGCATCTCGTCCATTTTCACAAGCAACACAACCACGACCCTCATCTGCTCCAAAAAGACATCGCGAGACGAAGCAAAACTCGGGATCGCCGTCACTAACCAAGGGGCGCGCGCGCGCAGAAACACCACCCCTCGAAACCATCGCCCACAATGGCCGTCCAATCCAAAGTCTCTCTCGGGCTCCCCTCAAACCGCACAGTCCGCAACCTCGCCCTCCAGCTCACCCAGCTCTACCTCCAAAACCGTACGCGCATCTCCCGCGCCGTCTGGATCACCCTCTTCGTCGCCCTCGCAAACCGCATCCGCCGCGCCATCTCGGACCAGAAGGCCGCTTCCGCGCGCGAGGCCGCCGCCCGCGAATCCCGCGCCACCGTCGCCGCCCCTTCGGACGAGGATTTGACCAAGAAGCGCAAAAAAGTCGAGCTCAACCGCGAATTCTTCCGATCCTTGCTGCGCCTGCTCAAGATTGTTATACCGGGATGGCGGAGCAAGGAGGCTAGGCTACTCATCAGCCATTCTTTCTTCCTTGTCGTCAGGACGTTGATCAGTCTCAAGGTCGCGGCCATGGACGGTGCCATTGTCAAGAGTTTGGTTAAGGGTAACGGGCGGGAGTTTTTGATGCGCATCGTGTGGTGGATGTTGATTGCTATCCCTGCGACGTTTACAAATTCAATGGTAAGCCCAGCTCTGTGCTCTGAATGCCCCCGCGGTTGGAGGCGTGCTAATATGATGAGACAGTTGTCCTACCACCAAGCCGAGCTGTCGCTCAAGTACCGGACGCGGTTGACGCAGCACATTCACGACAAGTACCTCTCGAAGCTCACCTTTTACGGCATCTCTGCCCTCGATGACCGAATAAACAACCCCGATCAGCTGATTGCCGTCGATGTCGCCAAATTCTCAAACAGCTTGGCTGAGCTCTTCAGTAACCTCGCGAAACCCGTCCTAGATATGGTACAAGCTCTCTCCTTCAACTCGGCGATCAAACTCAAAGACTAACCGCTGACAGACAATCTACACGCACTCGCTCTCACGCAGCGTAGGAGGCGAAGGCGTCGTCTCAATGGCCCTCCTTGTGCAACTCTCCGCAAACGTAATGCGCGCCCTCACCCCGCCCTTTGGCAAATACGTCGCCGACGAGGCCCGCCTCGAAGGAGAGTTCCGCTTCCAACACTCGCGCCTCATCGACCACGCCGAAGAAGTCGCCCTCTACTCGGGCCACGAGGCCGAGAAGGACACCCTTGACAAGGGCTACTTCACCCTCATCAAGCATGTAAACTACATTCTCCGTCGCCGTTTCTATCACGGCTTCATGGAGGATTTTGTCATCAAGTACTTTTGGGGCGCCCTTGGCCTGCTGCTCTGCTCCGTGCCCGTTTTCGTCAAGATGCCGGGCCACATCGCCATGAATATGGGCGACCGCACCGAGAGCTTCGTCACCAACCGCCGCATGCTGCTATCTGCCTCTGACGCGTTTGGTCGCATCATGTTCTCGTACCGCGAGATCATGGAGTTGGCGGGTTACACCTCCCGCGTCGACTCTCTCCTCGAGGTCATGAACGACATCCGCGCCGGCCGCTTCGAGAAGAAGCTCGTCTCCAGCTCGGGCACCGAGAACAACGAGGCCGTCCTCAAGGGCCGCGGTACCGTTGTCGAGAGCAAGGACATTCAATTCATCAACGTGTAAGTCACAATTCTACCTACACACAACCATCCTCAAACGCAGACTAACACTTCAAATAGCCCGATCATCTCCCCCAACGGCGACGTTCTCATCAAAGCCCTCTCCTTCTCTCTAAAACAAGGTGACCACCTCCTCGTAGTCGGCCCCAACGGCTGCGGCAAATCGTCCCTCTTCCGCATCCTCGGCGGTCTCTGGCCAGTCTACGGCGGCACCGTCCACAAGCCTCCCTTCTCCGACATCTTCTACATCCCCCAACGCCCCTACCTCTCCCGCGGCTCCCTCCGCCAACAGATCACCTACCCAGACTCCCTCCGCCAGATGCGCGCCAAGTCCGTCACCGACGCAGACCTCCTCTCCATCCTCTCCCTCCTCGGCCTCGAGCACCTGCCCGAGCTCTACCCGGAGGGCTGGGACGCCGAGGCAGAATGGCGCGACGTCCTCTCGGGCGGCCTGCAGCAGCGCGTCGCCATGGCGCGGTTATTCTACCACCGGCCCCGCTACGCCATCCTCGACGAGTGCACCTCCAGCGTCACCCTCGAGACGGAAAAGGTCATGTACGATAACGCAAAGGCCCTCGGCATCACCCTCATGACCGTCAGCCATCGCCGCAGTCTGTGGAAGTACCACAGCCGCATCCTTCAATTTGACGGACAGGGCAACTTTGTCTTCACCAAGCTCGATGCCGATCGCCGGCTGAAGCTCGAGGACGAGAAGGAGGACCTTGAGGTCTTGCTGCGGCAGGTGCCTGAGATTGAGAGGCGTATTGCCGAGTTGACAGCCGCTTAGAAAGCGGGGTTGTTTTTATGTCCTCCTACCTATAGCGGTTCTCGTAAGTGAGGTTGTCAAGGTGCATTTGGTGGAAATGGAGGCGAATCTTCAACGAAGACAGCATGATTTGATGGATTTTGGACGATTCTTATTTTTGCAAATTTTGTACACAAAGGTTTGTAGACACAACACCTACAGAGGATACGGCGTAGAACAGGACAGGCAAATCGAAAGAAATAATACCACATCTCACAACTGCTCCGTGCATTCGAACTAGCCCAACTCATGGCAAGGCTTGACGCGCGCGTATACAGGTCAGGTTTGAGAAATCCATATGCTTTAGACTCTTAGCCCACTACCTGAGGCTGATCAGTCTTCCTAAATGCATTTTGAAAGTGCAAAACTCCACATTTGTTCAGCTCGATGCTATTGGTAGATGAGCTGGTAGCTGCCATTTACTTGAGATGTAGATGGATGACCTCTCTACCTGCTCCAAAAACCCGCCCGCTACCAATTTCCATCATGGGTATCAAAGTTGGACAATTCTGCCACTTCGTCAATCAATCGGCAAGATTCGTCGGATGGAAGCGGCAGTTCTCGCTATGTATGCTGTTGTCAAGCAGTAAAATACGCTCATGATCCGCCCCGCACTCGTAGCAGAACTCGTGCTTGCACTTGGAACCTATGAATCGGTCTCTAGGTTAGATAGTTCTTGACTTTGCCCCCGATCTTCTGCTTTGCTACGAGCGCCGTGGCGCACTCTCTGGCCTATACTTGAGGTCCAAGACCTCGGCACCGAACGCTGTGCGACCGTTCCCAAGTAGAGTAACAGCCCCAACAGAATTCGTAGCGGCATTTGATGCCTGCGATGATGTTGGCTTCAGTTTGACAGAGAGAACGCAGGAATACTCAAGTTGAAAGGGGTAGTCGAGGGGTCAAACATGAGATACACAGGGACAAGGATACTTACAAGTCATGTGCGAACTACCAAGTTCCTGTTAGCTTCCCTTCTTGCTCTGAAATTACAGAAGGACACTTACCATCCAGAGTTCTTTTCAATGGCCCATCCGCAACCAGGACAAGGCTTTGTTGTCCGGCTAACGGTTACTCGACTTTGCTCTTCTTCCGCTTTTCGCCGAGCGGCGACCTTCCTCGCCAGGGCTACCGCCTTTCGGGCTCTTTCCCTTTCGGCGCGCTCTCTGGCCTCATTCTGCTGAATCTCAGCTTGCTGTTCTGCCATGAGGCCCTGCGCCATTGCCCGATCGGCATCCTCTTGCGCCTGTCGCGCCGAGTCAAACTCGTCATACTCCATCTCTATGCGCGAGCGGAAGTTTTCTGGGTCATGAAGCAGCGCATCATACTCCTGACACGACAGGTTCTCGTGCCATGTTACGTTATGGCTAAAACAAGACCGCTGACCGCAATGCAAACATGTCACAATGGGCTGATCTCCGCCGGTATCGTGAAGCTGGCCCGAGCCACAATTTGCCGTACACCAAATGAACTTATCAGCTTCAGCCATGGCAGCGCGAAGAGCCAAAGCCTCGTATCTTGGAAGACGTTAATGTTTTGATACCCAAGGGAGGTCAAGGGGGTTTACCGGGCAAATGTCTCGCCGTCTGCGTACTTCTGAATGTCGACGTATTCTAGCAACTCGCGGCATTCTGGGCACTGGATTTCAGTCCACAACTTGCTGTTCAAATCTGATTTGATGGACATTTGAAGGCACTCTAGACACGCTTCTGGTGGGTGAGTACACGTTGGAGTCACACTGAGGACGGGAAATGATGAAATATCTCTGGTCTCCGCACAGATCGGGCATTCTCGAGAACCGCACAGGTCGTTGGCTGGTAGCCGTTGCCTAGTAACAACAACATCTGTTGTGTCTGCTGCCTTGTGATATCTCTGGCCGAAACTGGGACTCGTCAGCAATGTTGAACTCAAACATGCATGTTGGCAATGAGAAGTGTCAATTCTGAATTATCCACTTCCGAACTCATTGATGAAGGCTGACGAAGAGTATTAATCGAACTCGAGGGTGCATTTACCTGAAATCATCAGCTCCGAGATCCGTGGAGCGAGACCCCGATGCAGAATCCTGCCTGCGCAGAAAGGCAACCGTCATTGCTTGCTCCTTCTGCTCAAGGAGCTCGACATAGGGGTTGTTCAAAACCAGCGACGCGACCTTTGACGTTGACCTTGACCGTGTGGGCGGTGATAGTACTGGGGGAGTACTAGCGGCAGTGCTGGAGCTGCCGCCTGTGGTCTGTGGTGAAAAGGGCGAGATATCGAAATCTTCAAGAATAGACGCTGATATTGGTCGATAGCCCCTTTGTAGCGGTGGAGTAGAGGAAGATGGAATTTCAGCCTCTGTAATGTTGCCTGTAGACTTGGCTACAGGCAGTGGGAAGTCGAAGTCTGCCAGAATATCGGCGCTTATAGCGCGGTAGTAGTTGACCCGACGTGGGACCTCCGGCAAGGGCGCTGGCGGTTGGGGCTGATCGTGACTTGCGCGCCGGACCGCTGTGCCTTGCTCGTTGTTTGAATTGTTTGATCCGTCAACATCCATAGCTAACCCCCAATCGTACGCCGGGGCGGGATCGAGCCCATCGCTGCCAAAGCCTCCCACCAGAGAGGGATTGGCGCTGGAATGATAGCTTGGTGGTAGTCCGCTGTTTGGAGGAGCGAACATCTTCGTTAAGGGGAAGTCTTCGTCATGTGGCACAAATCTGGGTGAAGGATCGTTTGGGGAGTCTGTTTGCTGCTGGCGAGAGCTTCCTCCCGGGGCTATTGTTGCGGGAATAGCTACTTGTGTCACCGTTGATACTTTTGAGATGTCTACGGATCGCTCTGAACTTCCATCAACGAGAAAGTCCGCAGGCAACAAATGAGGCGTTGAAGGGGCTGTAGTAAAATGAGACGCAATCTTCGTGGGGGACTTTGGAGCAGGAGGGTCGAATCTGAGAGTCGAGGTGGTATGGCTTTCTTCCGTGGTGTTGTTTAGCCGTTCCCCGCGCGGTGACGGGGACCATTGGGAGGGGGGCAAGGACGTGTTCGGTTCGGACTCTGACGAACTGTTTGTTGTTTGCGGATCGTGGTGAAATGCTCCAACGAATTTTCCCTTGTAAGATCGAAACATGCTGAGAGGGCGGCAAGCTGGCTGGGATGTCCCTGCTGACTGCTTGGAGTTCAACTCGGACCGTTAACCTTGCATCGCCGTCCGAGCATAGAGCTGATGCAGAAAGGCCACGAGACAACGTGTTCGTAGTGCGGCTGGACAGTTCAGGAGGCGGGTACCTATCAGCGCAGAAAGACTGGCCACAAAAGTAAAGTATGAGTATTGATTAGAGGCCGGTTACAATGCCCAGTCCAGACGAACGTTGGATAGTGACTCTAATGGCGAGGTGGTTTCGGAGACGAAACCGGGACGCAGATTCTAGGCTTAATGGCCTACGGTCATACGTCTTGTGGCTGCTGGGAGAAGTGTAATGCGGTGCTCGCGGTTTGGCAGGCGGTATATGATGTACCGTAGTTTGGCTCAACCTTGTGATGGCGTTCCTAATGAACGATGACGGCGGGCGCATGAGGCAAAGAACTGAAAGCCCATCAGATGAGGCCGAACGAGGGGCGTTGGCGAACCTTGAAGGTGGAAGGAGTTCCAGATTGACGTCCAAGTGGTTCATGCCATGGTCAGACAGCTCCGAGGCGGACCTGCCTTGAACGTTTCTTCCACTTTGGGGAAGCGATGTGTACGTACCGTAGGTAAGTACCGCTGGAGGAGGCAGATGTACCTATCCTAGCGTGGCTAGACGCCTGGACGTCTCCACAGATCGCCAGGGCTCACTCGCTAGCGCATGTCACTGCCCGTTGCCCGTCCTTAGCGGCAGCCGGCCACCTGTTAAGCCTCGCTCAACCCCGCCAAAGTCAATGGGCAGACTTCCATCGAGGGCAGCCGATTTTTGGATCCAAAGTCGGACAACCTGACATTTCACCTACTTGCCCAAGCCTAAATGAAAGACAGAACAAAGTAATATGCACATGTCTTACTTTCTTTGACTTGCTTCAGCCTTAAACGCAGTGAATAAACCGACCGGTTGGATCTATGGGAAATCCGACATAATCCGACGTGTAACTCTTTCCAGAACGCCTACACCAGGCTACAAGAACCCTGTCATCGGACATAAGCCTCACGAAAAGGGCACCTGTGATGGCCTCTTGTTTCCCACGTGGATCTGACACCTCATGAAGACTCTTCAATGACGCAGTGATACTTCATTTAATCTACACCACAAGAAGGGCCCATAGGAACCAACCCTAGGGATAATCAAGTCGACAAAGTGCGCCTAAAGATTATGTACATGTGCTGTCCTTGATGCTTTCCAATTGGGTATATCAACCAAATTAGTCCCGTAGTATATGCAAGTCAAGCTTATTTCAGCAATCCTCATATAGCAAATGCGCTTGAGCAGTGATGCTAGTGTGGGCAGTGAGCGGAGGATACCAGTGTGAGATACCTTACCCAGAGCCCCTAGCCTCCCCACCGGAAATTTGTCCATCCGCCGGCTTCCTGCCTCTCTCGATCGCTCTTGGCGTAGTAGAGGTGGCTCAAAAGTGTACGAGCCCCACTCTCCTGGAACCTATCACGCTTTTCTTGCGGCCCCCACGCGACCAGCATCTGTTGGCGTCGCACAAGCTGAGGTTCCTTGATAACATCCTTGCGGCCAATCTGTCGCATGTATAGCGCCGGCGTGAGAGTGCAAACGTTGAGCAGGTGGTGATACAGCTCCTTTTTGGTGGGTTGCGGGTCAATCTTTGTCAAATTGAAAGCTTTGCGGTTCTGTAGTATGTTCTTGCAGTCGAGTTCTTGCAAATTGTCGAGGAAGTCGGTCGAGGTTTGCATCTCGTCGTCCACACCCCAAACTATGTATGGGCTGATGTCGAAATAGAAATGGTTGGTGGAGACCTGAATCTTCTCATACAATTGCATCGCGGGCTTGATGCAAACCTGCTCAAAACCCCTGAAAAATGCATCTATCTTGTCTCTCCGGCAGAAGATTTTGAAAATACTCGCAAGTTCGATCGTTAGCTCGCGCATTTTCTTTTCCCGGCAGCCCTTGAAGTCGCGGGAGCTCAAGATTGCATTGTATGCTTCTGCCGTCCAGGTTCGTATCGCAAAGAGATCTGCCACATGAATCAGTAAAGAAGCACAAAGTGAATCATGCAAAAATATTCCCGTACCTCGCTTTGGTTCAACATGGTTCTGGAGCGCCGTTTCCACGAAGCTGAGGACTTCCACATAGTTGGCGATGGAGCCGTACATAATCTTTTGAAAAATGTTCTCGTTGATGAACCTCATGATGGTTGCAACAATAATGTCTTCATCCGTTTCTGGGAAGACTGCGCCATGAACCAGGTCAGGATACTGGTGTATGACCTGCTTCAATTTGAGGGCGTCGCTAGGCCTCCTGCGGGCAGCCGTCATTAGGTCATCGACCCCCTTTTCATGGTCGTCCAAATGGGGATCCATGAACTTGGAAACCCAATCGCTGATGCCCTCGATAAGATCATCGTATTCCTATCGGTTTATCAGTTGACTCTTGCTGGGGGTCTCGGCAGGTACTTACGCGCCCAACTTCCTCGGGGGTGAGCTCTTTGCGATAGGGCTGAAGGCTAAAGATGTGAGATTGGGCATCTCTGAGTTGTTCTTTCAAAGCTGTATTCTCTGTGTTGAGCTCATTGATTTTTGAAGCAAGAGGTGCTGTGTCTTTCTCAATCTCTGTGATGGTCGAGGTCACGGTAGACTTGATCTCGCCTATCCTCCGCTCTGCTCGTTCTACCTTCTCCTCGGCGATTTCAGCTCGAGCCATTGTTGACTTGAGCCTGTGGCGCAGCTCCATGATTTCACGACGCAGCAGCAAGTCATCACTGGCCTCTGCCTCGTCTCCGCCGTCGCGTGCATTGGGGATAACATCTTTTTCGGAAAACTCTCTTGATGGTGAGGAAATGTCAGCACCAAGGTCGATCAGATCGCATTCGACAAATGAGGATGATGTAACTGTGGAAGATGGCGACAGAGGATGACGAGAAGGATTGGAGGCAGGATAATTATTGAAACGAGTGGCAACGAGGCCTTTGGGTAGAGCTTGCCTGGGTCCGCTGCTCTGAGCCCCGTTCTCCGGAGCAGGCATCTCGACCTTGGTGAAGCCCATCGCATCAGTGTCACAAGTCGCGTGTGGGCTGACTGGCTCTATGGTGACAGCAGTTGCTTGGTTCTTGGGGGACTGTCTGTAGGTAAGTCTCGAGTCGTCGAGGATCATGGCACCAGCATCAACGTCGAGGGGTCTCTTGTCCGGAATGGGTGGGCTGTGACCGTCGGTGTTTTGCGGAAGAGTCGGGTCTACCTGTCTGAAATCCTCCATTATGCCGAAGAGCAATCCTCTAATATGGCAGCAATGAACAAGATGTTTGGATGAAGAGAGAGGACCGAGTCTACCTATGCATCAGAAGAAAGAATGACTTGGAGGGGGAAATGGGATGAGATGTTGCCGAAGGAGAGGCCTAGGGGAAGTTGCACGGACAAAAGAAGGAAGATTCCAGTGTCATGAGAAACCTACCTTACCCATGGTCGAGGACTCAGGTAAGGTACCTTGGGTACCTCGAAATGCCGCCTGTAGTGCACAGCCCAGGATAAAAGTTCAAGGTCATACATCAGACCTCATTGTGTGATAGAATCTTTCGGCTGGGAGGGGTGTCCAGAATCTGGGAGGGGTGTCCAGAATAGGAGTCCTGGAAGAACCCTCTCGACCCTCTGGAACATTTTGGGGCCCTGGTTGAGCTTGGAGTCGGCCTCTCATGGGCTTGTCTTGGTATGGATCCGTCAGAAACAAGGCAGCTTTCGGTGAAGGAGGACGGTTGCTGCATTGGACCCAAGGTAAGCTGCCTGCCCGAGTAACCCCGCCAGCGGGGGCGGATAACGGCGGGTGGGGCACTGCTGAAATACGTACCTTTAAGGCTGACACCCTTGTTGTTCTCAGAAGTACCGATCCACTCTATCAAGGTCACTTTCTTCAACAGGCATCCTGACCTTCGTCAAGGTGGTCCAGAAACAGCTAAACACGTTGAGTAATACTGGGAGGCAGTGAGAGTTGAACGCTTTGGACTATTAGTGGCATAATAAAGACCGAAGGGTGCCTCATGAGGACGCCTGAGCTACATGGCATGGCGGACGAGTATCTCGGCGCTCAGACCTACGACATGTCGATACATCCAGACGTATCCGACAAGTGAGAACCCGCATGAGCTTGACGCATAAGGCAGTGATTTCTTCAGAGGGCTGATTGTTTTGATTCAATGGTTGATAGCTCTCGTTCATGTGCAGTCTTGGACGTGCGTCGCTTTTTTGTCTTGGTAGCCTCAGATACCTCTGAAATCTACCTACCTAAGATAAGGTAGGTTGGTCGACCAGGGAAGGAGCTACAAGTAGTTAATCGGAGCTCCCTTCCTCCACTGTTTACGCTACGCCCCGTCAAGGACATGAAGGCCAAAAAGGTTCAGCCGGAGCCTCTTGCTGCCCTGCACCCTTCAAACATTCACCCAAGCTTCATCAAGGCAGATTTCCTTTCACCTGCTGACCTCTACGTACCTTGCCCAAGCATATCTTTCCATCAAGCTCGATGTGAGCCAGCTCTTGACATCGCCCTCTTTCCTTCTTCCACCTAAAGCTCCCCTCCTTACTTCTTTCTGTCTCTTTTTACTGCGACCAGGCCATCCTGAATAATTGGAATCTCCTTCATCTTCGTCTTGGGCCTGTCAAGCCTACTCGGGTCCAGCTTCATTCGGAAAAAAGACAGGACTTCGGCTACACCGACCCAAGACCTTGATCTGTTCTGGTGACTGCCAGCCGATCATCGACTTGCCCTTGCGCCCAACGTCCATTTAAACTTGTTATCGCCTTCGCATCTATTGATACCCTCTGCATCACCCGGCAGCAAGATAACCCCAAGCCATGGACGCCTTTGACTTTGGGCAACTGTCCGTCAGCGGGCGCAAGATCATTGTCGGTATCGACTTTGGTACCACTTATTCAGGAGTAGCGTGGGCTGAAACTCAACGTCCCGATCGACGGACTGCAATCACTACCTGGCCGATCAGCAAAACCATCCGTGAGGGCGAGTCTTCGGACAAAGTTCCTACCAAGCTGCGATATGCCGGTGACGAGGTTCAATGGGGGTTTTCCATCCCCGTTACTGCACCGCAAGATGAAGTTGTCGAGTGGTTCAAGCTGTGAGTACCTTGAATTCCACCTCGCCCTGTTTCTCGGCACACTGAGCGCAGATGTCATAGGATACGACAGAGCTAATGTGTCCCAGCGATCTCGACCCCTCTCTCCAAAGCATGGGACAAGCTGTCTCCTCAGAAGCTCGAGGTGGCCGCAATGTCGACAAGCTTGTGACAGATTACATTTCTGCCCTGGGTGATCATCTTGTCTACACTCTGAAGGAAAAGCTCGGAGAGCAGGTTGTCAATACCACCCCGTTGGAATTTGTGGTCACGGTGCCTGCTATCTGGTCAGATCTCGCCAAGGACAAAACCAAGCAAGCCTGCCAGAGGGCTGCTGGCCTCAATACCGTTACCAACACTGTTGCTCCCATCCATCTTGTCTCCGAGCCCGAGGCTGCTGCCATCTATGCCTTACATGGCCTGGACCCACATGGGCTCAAGGTGGATGACACTGTGGTGGTTGTGGATGCCGGAGGAGGAACTGTGGACTTGATCTCGTACACAATTACCAGTCTCAAGCCCATTCTGGAGGTACAAGAAGCTGCTCCAGGATCTGGTGCGCTATGCGGCTCGACCTTCCTCAATATGCGCTTCGCCAAATTTCTGAAGGCTAAGCTGGGCAAGGAGGACGGATTCGATGACGAGATCATGGCCGAGGCTATGGAACAGTTCGAGAAAAAGGCAAGCTTATACCTTCAATAATCCTTTGACACTCAAGGATGTCTTGACCGGAGCTCTTTGACTAATAGTGCGCAGGTCAAGCGACAGTTCACGCTCGGTGCTGCTCCAGACGACTCTTACACCATTCCAGTTGGTGGTCTGGCCAATAACAAAGAGCTTGGAATCAACCGCGGTCGTTTCGCCTTGAAGGCATCAGATCTCCAAACAATCTTCGAGCCCGTTGTTCTGGAGTGCATCAAGCTTGTCAAAGACCAGATCACAGCAAGCAACGTGCCGATTCGTGCCATTCTCCTTGTCGGCGGTTTTGGCGCGTCCAACTATCTCAAGGAGCGCTTGCGTAACGCCATCGACAAGAGCATCCAGATCATGCAGCCGCCCAATGCTTGGCAGGCAGTTGTTCAAGGCGCCGTCATGAAGGGTCTAGCACAAGTATCTCCTGATAAGCTCACGCAGGTCAAGGTGCAGAATCGCAAGGCCAGGAAGCACTATGGCACCGAGTGGCGAAGCAAGTACGATGCTAAGCTTCACAAGCATCTCGAACAGAAGCGACACTGGTGCGGCTTGGATGGTTGCTACAAAGTGTACACCATGGAGTGGTTTATCCAACGCGGCGATAACGTCTCCGAAAACGAGCCGTTCTATACATCATTCGTATGGACCGGTCTGGTCAGCCAGGGCCGTATCAAGAAGATCAAGATGGATATCTACGCAGACCGCAACCAGAGGATTGCGCCTGTTGCTCGGGATGAGAATGTTTCAATGCTCGTTCATGTCGAAGCTGATGTCGGACACATTCCCGAGCACATGCTCTCTCGTCGCCAGGGGCTTGATGGCCAATGGTACTACGAGCTGAATTGTAAGATCGAAGCCGTCTATCTTTCGGCGTCAACCACGTACACATTGCTCTACAACAGTGAGTTCCCTAATTCACTTTGACTAAGCATCTTAACATGGACGTTAACCCTCTCTAGATCAACGGTACAACACGGTGACGGCAGAGTATGTTTGATATCGTCATGCTTTGGCTGCAGACGCATGTAGTCGGGAATGCGCCTTCGATCTGGATACGCGAGAGCTTTGGAACAGGAGATTGATGAGCACATATGAAGAGGCAATAGTGTACACAATGCAAACACCATGTGACGTTTCTATTCCAGAAATTTTGCTTCTCTGGATGAGAAGCATTAAGTGTATTGAAATTGAAGTTATATCGAGTGTTATTGTACGCCCAAATGACACTAGCATCTAGATGAATAATTTCTTGATTGATAAATGCCATGATCAAACCGCTTCGCGTGTTCCCTAGATTCTAATCGATTCCACTCGGTCAGTAAAGACTGGACTCTGTGCCAAGGATGTTACTGTTGGATGTTTTAATTCAAAGCCGTGATTGCTATGCCTCTGTACCTAGTTTCTATCCTAATATCCGCCTACCAAGGGAAATTTAGTATCGGTTTCCCGTCGACCTTTTATCTACGCAGGGATTGGGAAGGCTCTCGCAATGGGTGTTGTAGTTTTAAACATCGACGATGATATGATGGATGTCTCAAAGCTCTTATACCTGAACAAGTAGATCATATATTGCCTGGATCCCGGCGTTCTCCACTTCTTCTGGCAGCTGGGCCATCTTTCGCTTGTCAATCTCATCTTTGGCCCTTTAAACTTGCATTAAATACGCGAAAGAGACATCGTGGGATGTCATATAGGGATTGCGGAGGCCGCGAAAGACCAGGTTTCGAAGTGCTGGGCATGGCATCGGGTTCGTGGACGCGCGACCGTCTCTGAGTGTTTGAAGCGAGACATGTAAAGTTCGTAGGATGGGTGCAAGTGGTGGTTTGATGATTGCAATTGAGTACCTATTGGGCGTTGCGGAGAATTGGTTTCACGTCTAGCCTCCCAGACAAGATGAAATTGGAACTGGCGATGGAAGCAAAGACAGGGCGCAAAGACACTAACAATAACATCGCGATCGAAGGGAAAGCTGAGACAAATCTAGCGAGGTGCGAGGTTACATGGCGTGGGTGCTTGATTCCAAGCCTCTTGACCTGGGAACTTGGGCAAATTGGACACTCAGTGCTGATTTGGTTCAGTCCGCTGTACCTCACTGCACCCCTTGGCCGCGACGCATTGTCAGATAGGACCGAAGCCTCTGAAACAAATGAATGAAGTTTGGAAAGTTGCTCAGGTTAAGGTACTGCAAACATGATTGAATGGGGGCTTCAAACAACGCTGTACCATAAAGGGAAATCGGATAATCCTAGCTGAATGCCGATACGGTCGGGAGGCGTTATCAGTGGTCAAGATAGAGGAATCAGACCCCTGCACAAAATCTGACCGAGGCCAAATTGCATAACGGTCAAGACCTCACCCCGCGATGCGCGCGACTTTGACTTCTTTCCTCATCATATCATCAACTTCAAGGTCGCCGGGAAAGGACCAAACGGCAACACTGCTCCAACAATCAACGACATCACTTCGCTGTTCGTAACCCCAGGTAACCCCTACAATCACGATGCAAACCAGATCTGACCCTGAACAGGTTGAAGGCAGAAGCGTCGACGCCCACCGCAACGATGGCGACGAGCACACCGTCGCAGGCTGGCTCACCGTGGCCGGCTCGTTCCTCGTCTACTTCGTGTCCTTTGGCTACATGAATAGCTTCGGCTACTTCCAGGACTACTACCTCGGCCATAGTCTGGCTGGGTATCCGAGCTCGGTCATCGCGATCATCGGGTCCCTCCAGCTTGGTCTCATGAACCTCATCCAGCCTGTCGCCGGTGGCCTCGCCGATTCGTATAGCCCGAGCATCCTCTACGCTGTCGCAGCCGTCGGGGCGATTATCTCCAGCGTCGGCGTATCATTCGCCCAGCCAGGCCACATTTGGCAGTTCATCCTCACTCAAGTGCGTGTCGTAACTACTAGCCGACGTATCGAGATCGTTCTAATGTCCACAACAGGGCGTCGTCTTTGGATCAACCGCCGTGTTCGGTACAGCGGTCTCCTTGCCTCTCGCTAGTCAGCACTTTACGAGAAGACGCGCATTGGCCATTGGTATTGTCGCCAGCGGGAGCAGCGCCGGAGGCGTTTGTCTCCCCATCATGTTCTCTCACCTTGTGCCTCGCATCGGCTTCGGCTGGGCTTTGCGAATTGCTGCGCTGATTGCTCTAGTATGCTACGGGGTCGCTATCCTCGTCTCGCGACCCAAGCTGCCACGCAAGCCTGTCGAGTCTATCTGGTCGATTGTGGACTTTAATGGCTTCCGTGACCCCCGATACTCTACACTGGCGCTTGCCAATGTGGTTGGTAACTTTGGGCTTTACGTACCATTCTACTACCTAGGTATGTCTCCAGTCATTCTTGGATAACTCCACTTTGTATAGCTTCGAGTCGCTGTGTGATCTCGAAGCCGACGTCAATTTTGTCGTTTCCATGCTTGTATCATCACGTCGAGCAGTCAAGTCAGAAGTCGATGTCGTAGCGAAATTCTTTGCGGCCATGGGCATACATTTGATGCTTTCGTCGAATAACGAGTAAGCTAACCTCTTCATCAGAGCCGTACATTGCGGTTCACCATCCGGGAGCCGCGGTGAGAAACTACCTTCTCCCGCTTATCAACGGATCGAGCTTCTTCGGCCGGGTGATGTAAGTTACTGGGTCTTCCGATGTGCCATGATGAGCCCCGCACTGACGCATCCTAGCGGCGGATACGTAGCCGATCATACTGGTGGATTGAACCTCCTCTATCCACTAACGGCAATTTCGGGCATACTCTGCCTTACCTTGTGGCTTTTATCCACCAGCGTCGGCATGATTGTAGCTTTTGCCTGTTTATACGGTATATTCTTCTCATTATGCATGCATCAGACTTGCGGGGTTTCCAGTCGGCTAATCAAAATGCAGGCTTCTGCTCGGGAATATTTATCAGCGTCACACCGTCCGTGACCGTCAGGCTCTCTCCTGAAGATAAGGTCGGTGCCCGGCTGGGTGCATTTTCCATCTGGAGTGCAATTGGAGTCTTCACCGGCACGCCCATAGGCGGCGCTTTCGTCCGGCGAGGCACGCCGGAAGAGTATCAGCACCTGATTATCTTCGCCGGCATGTGCCTCGCTGCCTCGGCTGTTCTGCAGTTTGTGGCGCGCATCCTCTGTGAGAGAGACCTGCGCAAGAAGTGGTAGAAATCTTCTGCCATCGCGTAAAACGACTGGACACCACGAGGTTGGCCTGTCTTGCGCTACGGCAGCGAGCCGGCAAGCGAGGTTGGGGGCTGATTTTCTTGTCAAAGACCAGGGGAGGATATGGGGAATAGTGGAGGGCAAGAGAGCACAGGTCGAGGAGGATCTACGCCAGGCAGGTAGTTAGTGATGTAGAGGCGGTCTAAGATGTTGGGAGGAAGTGGCAAGGGTTTGAAATGTTGAGTTGGATTATGACCATGTATCAGCACTTTGCTTCTGTTTACTTGGAGTGGAGCGCTGAGGTGGTGATATCCGCGTCGATCGGTGGGACTTCACGGAATCATCCGACTTAGATAGGAATCCAGAATATACGAACCATCTATGTAGTCTGCACAAGGTCTCTGGACACACTAAAAACACGGATGGATATATGGTTCCTAGCTTCCAGTCCAGGTAGTCAACTGAATTGTGGTAGACATAATCCCGGTTGATGTTACCTCAAATATGGAGGCCCATGCTTTATTGGTTGTATGGATGCACTTCCGCTACTTCTTGGCAGCCAAGAAATAGTCCAGCCTCCTCAACTACACGTCAATAAAATATGAAGAATAAGCTCTGTATCATTAGTGAGAACCAGACCTATCAAATTACTACTTGAATGCGGATAAATGGATTTTTTTAATTGTTCAGCATCAAACGGCCTCATCACGATATCTGCCGGAGAGTGTCCGAAATGAGATAGCTTTCTGTGAATAAGAGCATAAGGTAGGTAACCATACTAAGGCAAATCACATGAGGCACAAGCCAAGTATCTACGTCATGAGATCAAAAAGCAGGAAGAATTTTGGCATGTCTGTGTTCTTCTATTAAATGTGCTGATCTGCATTTGTTAAGTGGAATAATCTCTCGCGTCACTCTGGAGCAATGCTCGGTAGATTGGATAACTTATCACCACAGTCCAGACGTCCAGTCTTGACGAGAACTGATGATCACATGTTGAATGAAGTCTCTATTCGCTGAGTTTCATATTTACAGACTGCGACTAGTCAAACTCTACGAGTTGCCTGGATCCAGCAACCGCAGAACTGTGAAGTTGCCTTAGAATCGGCGTTTGAGTCTCGGAAAAAGACCACCATGATCCCCGGATAGCCGAGACTCATCTTTCTGCCGCAGCAGGACTATTTTGTGGCTGCCACATGAGTTGTGGATAGAAGCCATAAACTTTTCTTTTCAACGTGGGAACCCTGGTTAACCCGGTGCTTTCCGCAGTTGTTGGTTCGCATTAATCCCGCTCACAGTCCAAATTCTGCACAGTCCAAATTCTCAACGATCGCTCATATTTCTGCCGTGGCTTGAGGGACTATTCCACTTAATAGACAAAGCAGAATGAGGCAATCCACATAGTGAGGTGGTAATTCTTCTCCATGCTGCCGCCACTCAGGGGAAATCAACACAGCCTTTGTGATATCTGACATGTTGGATGTAAGCCTCCCGAGCGGTCAAAAGCAGTTGTGGGACATGACCTTATTAGCCTCCGGGTTATCTTTCGGGGTATATTTGTTCTGCTCGGCGCTTACGGCTGGAGAATTATCGTTTGTCACCGGTCCCATCAGCAATTCAATTGCGTTCCACCTTACTCAAGCTCTGCTCAAGTAATCTGCGCGAACTTAGGCTACAAGAACGTGGAAACATTCAGAGAACCGGTGATGTGGTAAACACGGCGGGCCGGGTAGTGGCATGCGTTCAGAAAGACTTTGCAAACAAAGGTATCGGTAATGAGCCAAGAAACAATTTGAAAGTTGATTTTTGAGGCGAACTCACCAAGTCATGAAGTAAA